TTCAGAAATGTTATAGTGTCTGCTGATGTCTGCCAATTAAATGAGGATAGCTGTAAGGTCAAGTCTCTAACAGGGAAAGCTTTTAGACAAAATCCAATCTGTAAAGTAACCTGAAACAAAAATAAACAGAGCCATGTCAGAGAATCCCCTAGCCTTTGAGGCAGAGATGTATTTAAAAGAGTAACTCCTCAGATTAACTTTTTTCCTTCTCAAACTTGCTTCTTATGGGATTCATTAGTTAAAACAGGGGTAGCCCAGTGTAACAGACTTCACCTCCTATGAGTCAGACTGAAGTCTAGCTACTATTTTTTGGCTACCCTTATATAGCATGCCTGTGTTTGTCATCACTCCTCTTCATTTCTGATGTCAGGCTGAATCATTTTAGGAATGTTTATATCAATTCTGTGTGAAACCAGACAAGCTACAGCTTACTGAGCTTCCAAGGTTCACATTTTCTTGTCAGCTAACAAAGTTGAAAGCCTATTTTTTTTTTTCTTTCCCCTCTATTAGAGGGAAAATAAGCTGATTGTGGCTAGTTCTTTTTTTCCTCCTGCAATTCTGCCTCTTTCCCAAACATGCTAAGTTTTTAATGTGTTTTTCTTGATCTATGTAAGGGTTCGTCTGAGTCTGGAGCAAGGATGGGCTGATGAGATGGAGTTCACGGTGCAGCTGGTTCACCCTGGCACGCAGGCAGGCAGAGGCATGGAAACAGATCAGGGGCTCAGCAGTGTTTATAGTCCCTGCCAGGATATCTGTAAATCCATATTAGGATCATGTTGTGACTTCTTCCCCCAAGAGAAAGCCGTCTTTGAAGGAGTTTCCCTTTATTTACACAAACTCTACAATGATCTTTTTAGTTCCCAAAATCAGGCAAAGATGAGATTTCAGTTTGTTCTTCCAGCTGTGGCACAGGTCTTTGTAACTTTGGGCACTATTCAGGCCGCCTACTGCAGCACCAAACCCAGAAGTTGGTGTTTACTGTGGTGCATCAGCTTGAGAGCAGTATCTCCACAGGAACTTGTGAGGAGCTTTATTTGCAGAGCCACATGGGGTACATAACTTGGGCATCCCTTTATCTTCTTTTTTCTGATGATAGATATTCTGCAATGTTATCCTGGTGTCTGCATCAGTGCTTCCGTGACAGCACTGTAATCAAAACCTGACATCTCTCTAAAGAGTTTTCACAATTCTTATGGTAGTGATGTACAGAAGAACTAGAAACTTTCAGGAATTAACTTTCTATTTTCTTGCTAGCTTGCTGTTGACTCACCGCAACTCCCTGCACCCCAAAATCTAAAAAGAATGTTTTACATTATTTCAATAGTATTTAGATTTCAAGAAGGTTTGCCCTGTTTCTTGTTCTGGACAGGATTCTTGACAGGGAGTAGATACCAATGATGTTAAATATTTGGGATATTCTAAGCTGGAAACACAGATGGTGATAACACGTTTCCTATATGCTGTACTCTCATGTGCGCAGGTTCTCCACTGCTCATCGCCTCTAGTAGATTTTTATACCAATATAAAGTGAGTGTAAAGTATTACCACTGTGATCCAACAGTAATTAGTTCACTCACTTTGTGTTCATATAAAATCAAGGCATGGAGGACAACTAAGAATCGTGTTTGCAATGTAAAACTAATAAATAAAATACATTTCAAGTATGTATTAATCTAGCAGTGCATTAAACATTAATTAAATTATTAAGATTATAAAAAATATAATCTATATTTTATCTCAGTGTAGAGTTACAGCTACTGGTGAGTATAATTATTTTTGGTTTATAAGCATAAAATTCTCCAGGAATTGTTGCAAATTCTCTATGTGATAATTTACATTTGTATTTCAAGTTAGCTTGAAAAAAAAAGAAAAAATATATGAAATGGTGTTTTTTCATCAAGATATGGAATAATCTGTATTCTATAAGTTTTATTTACGTATAAAACACTATTCTCGCTGCTTTGAATGTGCATATACATGCAAAAATAAAATAAAAATAGGCTTTGTAAACTCGCTCACATGTGATTAACAGCTCTGAGGAAATCTACCACCTTTCCAATCCTAAGAACATAGTTTGGTTTCTCCAGGGGTGTAAATCTGCACAGCTCTATTAAAGTTAACAGAATTCCTTTGGTTTTCAATTATTTTTGGAGGATGGCCAAATGCTGGCAGATAACCTGATTAGCATAGACTTTCCTACCTGTAAAATCTTTCTCTTTTTAAAGGTATAGATAGCTTGAGGTTAGAATAAAATTAACATAGCTTCATGTAATTACACTATCTGCTACAACTAATTTGTGTACCGTAGCATTTTAAACAAGTGAGTGTGGCAAATAGAGTTCATTTAACTCTTCAAAATGTGGAAAGAAGTCCTGAAAAATTTATTACTTGTGACGTTTTGTTTAACAATGCCTAATATCCCTTCTCATTACAGACTATTCAAGTGAGTGATTGACCTCTCTGGAAAACATTGCTTATTTAAGGAGAAGGAACTAAGCAAAAGTATTTTTTTTATTTCAAAATTGGCTAATCTTTACAGTTTCCTCTAGAGCAGTGCACTGGGCAATAAGGAAAAAATAAGGGGCTGCATGCAGCCGTTGCCACAGTACAGTTCCTAGTCACTGGATTGTTTCACAGGGCTCCCAGATAAAAAGGAGTAAGGTGAAATCCAAGTACTATTTGCCAAAACATATTTTAAAAACAATTTTAATTGTTTTTCTTCACAGCTACAGAGAGGACATCATGCATTGCTGAGGCCGCTTTAATATGCCTTTATTTAATCAAGGCTCATGTGCTTATTCTCTTGATTTCCAATTCAGGAGGGTGCTTCAGCTTGTGCTTCTCTTCATAGAACATAAATAGATGTCAGTTTAAATGTGTGTAAGAGCTGACTGTAATAAGGATCTTGGAGCAGTGTTTGCTGTGCAGTGTTTTAAAGATGAGATATGGCAAATTAAAAGTAAAATGGATGATCAGAGACTTAGATATGTAAAATGGACAAGAGCATTATAATTCACAAGATTTTTGACACTGTTTCTCATAAAATCCTCATAGAGAAATTGATGAAGTGCAGAGTAGACGAATGGGCAGGAGGTAGGTAGAAAACTGGCTGAACTGCTGGGCTGAAAGGGTTGTGATTGGTAGCACAAAGTCCAGCTGGAGGCCAGTCAGTAGTGGTGTACCTCAAGGGTCAATACTGGTTTGCAAATGATACAGAACTGGGAAGAGTGGTTGATTCCCTAGGTGGTTGTGCTGCCATTTGAGGGACTTTGAGAGGCTGGAAAAATGGGCTGACAGTAACCTCATGAAGATCATGAAAGGGAATTGCCAAATCCTTGATAAGGAATAACCCCAGGTACTAGTACATAGTGGGAACTGACTGGCAGGAAAGCAGCTCAGCAGAGAATGACCAGGGAGTCCTAGTGGACACCAAGTTGACCATGAGCCAGCAATGTGCCCTTGCAGCAAAGAAGGCCAACAGCCTCCTGCGCTGTAGTAAGAAGAACATTGCAAGCAGGTCGAGGGAGGTGACCCATCTCCTCTGGTTAGAACTGGTGAGATATGTCTGGAACTCTGTGTCCAGTTCTAGGCTTCCCAGTACACAAGAGGCATGGACATATTGGAGCACAAAGGGCCATGAAGATTATTAAGGACCTGGAGTCTCTCTCATATTAGGAGAGGCTGAAAGAGCTGGAACTGGTGGAGGAATGAAGAAAACACAGCCAGACTTTTCTCAGTGGCAGCCAGTGACAGGACGACACAAACTGAAGTACAGGAGGTTCCATCTGAACATAAGAGAAAACGCTCTTTTTCTGTGATGGTGGCACAGATTGCCCAGCGAGGTCGTGGAATCTTCATCCTTGGAGACATTCAAAGCGCAACTGGACACTGTCCTGGGCCACCTGCTGTCGCAGACCATGCTGTTGCAGGAGGATTGAAGTAGCCAGTCCAGAGGTGCTTTCTAGTCTCAGCTATCCTATGATTCTGTGATTTCATGGAGAAGGTTAAATATATAAGAGGATATTTTCATTGCACTTCATTATACACACCCAATGGTCTGTTAATAATATGGGAAAGTTTACCCACTTTTATGATTAAACTTCTGAAAAACTGTCTTTGAATATTTTCTTAAGCTTCTGCAATATATTATCTAACAGTCTGGAAAAAGCCACAATTTGGAGACTTGTGTTTATGGAGATGAGAGAGGTAAAATCAGTGTTCTGTGCAGTAAAAATGTAAATACAATTTTCAAAGTTAAAATTACAGGTCCACAGTAAAGTCTTAAGTCAGAAAAGGCCTCTGGAGGCCATCTGGTTCAGCCTTCTGGTGCAAGGGCTGTAGATGAGGTCATCCAGGGATCTGTGAAGCTGAATTAGCAAGAGAAATTGCATTATTTCTCTGGATACCTATTCCATGGTGAGGAATATTTTTCTTATATCCAGATGAAATTTCCTCTGAAGCAACTTGTGCCTCTGGTCTCTTGTCCTGTCACCATGCATGGTGGTGGAGAGAGCCCCTTCGTCTTCTCTATAGCTATTTTTTAGGTACTGGAAGTCAGTGGTCTCCCTGAGCATTCTCTTCTGAGAGTTACACAAGCACATTCCTTCTTTGACCTCTCCTTCTATGTCAGGTTCTCCACTCCTCTCATTGCATTGGTGGCCCTTCGCTGGACCATCTACAATCTTTCTCTTGAACTGCGGGAAATTCACCCTGTGTAGCCTAGATGATGGGAGTGTTTCTTCTGGTAGATTTAGCAGTACAATAAGATTTTTCCAGAACTCTCTGAGGAACTCTAACACCCAGTTATAGGTATCAAAACAGGCTTCTTAAAGTCTAAAGAGAAATAAATCTCTTTTTTATTGGATAATTTTTCAAAGTAGTGCTGAAAGGAGTTGGTCACAAGGATAATGTAAAGGCTAACAGATCTGAACCTATTTTGACTGGAGACAAGGGGTATTCTGCCATAACTTTAATGGAAGAAGGGAATGTCAGACGATTTTATAGATGTGCTGAACTGTGACTGTGTGTAGTTGGACTAAGAAAATCGCTCAACCTCCTGTGAAACACAGAGCTCTGGGACAGCCTGGACTGAAAAATAAGCTCTGCTAAAGGCTCTTACAGAAGCCCCCAGGAGAACAGATCTTTTTGCTGCCAGTACACAACTTTCTAGCCGAGCGGCTGTTTACCTACTTTTATATGGGGAATTGGTCTTGATATTTTGCTTGGAAAACATTGCAACTAACCACAGCAAATGCTGGCCTGGTTGTGTGAGGTTTGCCTGCATCCCTGCCTTGATGCTATTTTTCTGAAGCCTAAGACTTGCTGACATAATTCTGACTCTAAATTTCAGTACCAAATTTTTATAGGAAAACTTGAAAGATGATAAGGAAATATGAGTCTGTATAGTAATCAGTACTCTTAACAAGAATGCTCTTCCGCTTCAGGAAAATGGATTGACTACCCTTTTATGTGTGTCTGCTGCTAAATAAAGAACTGATAGGAACTGATCCTCAGCCCTGAGGCCACTGATTTTCCTCTCCACAACAGAATATCTTGGGAATGACAATGGCAATGGTCTAGAACAGAACCAAGAAGTGTCCTTACAAGCATGGTGGATGATGACTATTTGGTGCTTGGATTCACTACTTGGGCCTCTTTTATTTATAATATAGATGCATTCTTTGAATTTAAACCCTCTTTTCAGAATTCATATTTTTCTGTAGCAGTAGAAAAAAGAAAAGACAGGAGTGTCATCTGTTGGATATTGGAATCGTGATGGAGCTTGGATCAATCATTAACAGGTTCTAAGAAAGGCATCAAAACTTGGTAGTAATATCTTCTATCAAAAAGAAACCAATGATGTTGGTTTATAGAAGGAAAGCATAGAATCTTTTCTTGAGGAATCGTTGCTCATCCTGTTTGTGCGAAATGATTTGGTGTACCTGCAAAAGCTGTCCAGACAGTGCATTTGAACTCTTCCTGTAGCTGACAGAGGAGGCTGCTTAACTTTTGACATGGCTTGACTGGAGAGGTTTTTAGATACCATGGTGTGGAGATAAGACTGTAAATTATATCATTCCTGTCTTGATAGTCACAAGTAAGTATCGCCGAGGTCAGGGCATAGGTGCAGAGTGAGAGAATGGTGGCTTCAAAGTGATTTTTATGATGTACCATGCAATCTGGTGTCTTTGCCTTTGCAAATTCTAAGCTCTTGTGAAGTGCAGCAAAAATCTCAGTTTCCAATTATAAGAAAGCATCAGTTGTGTGATAATGATCAGCTTGAAAACATGTGCCCTGACACTCAAGAACCAGAAGTCTCTTAAATACCTTGATTTAGGAGTGATGGGGCAGTTCTTGATTTTGAATGATGTTTCAATAGTAGAGGGAGTGTTTCTGTGCTGTTGCATCCTCAGTTGGTATCTTTGCTGAGTGATGCTTAGTGAAGTAGCTGTTCCAAATCATACCACCATCCCAAACTCCTCTGTGACCGGAGGGAAGAGTTAAGACTGAGGAGTGGAGACTAGCCCTGCTTGGCTTCCTGAACTGTACTGATGCTAGACTTGCTTTTTGAAGGGTATAGCTGCTCAGGAATGACCTATTTACACCGGGTTCTGTCTTAACAACTGTACTTTGAATGCATTTTGTTATTTTCTTGTTACTCAGAAGTGGTCCTTAATATATTTAATATTTTTAGTGCCCTACAGATACCAAAGCAACGTTTGGGGTCCACCTTAAGGTAGTAGGAGACTGGACAGGTATGTAGAAAACCAATTCCTTTTCAGAGATAAATACCTTTGCTTGAACTGTTATCCCTTTCTGGCTTCAGCACGATTGTACCTTGATTGTGGTGTATTCTCGCTAGAGATCGTTTGTGCTTATTTTCCCAAAGTTATTTTTATTACATTCTTGATGCAACCCCTGCTTTATTCAGATGTACGTTTCTTCAGATAACATGTTTTTCCAACTACTAACAGATCTTCTGATGCCGTGTAGTAATTTTCAGTGTTCTTCCATGTCTGCCTCATGTTTTTCCAACTACTAACAGATCTTCTGATTGCAGTGTAGTAATTTTCAGTGTTCTTCCACGTCTGCCTCTTTTTTTTTCCCTATTTTTTGGTAGCCTGCTGCCTCGTGCAGTGTGGTGCCTCTGTGCATAGCAGTGCCTGCAGAAATGCTGAAATGTGCAGCTCCCTGATAAGCGGATTCGATGCCAGCAGTTTGGATGGCTGCCAGGTTAATTAACGCCTATGGTACACTGAGATTACCGGTTGCTTTCATGTTCTTCCATTGCTCTTTGAATGTCCTCCAGACTAGGGGTGTAAGCCAGGACTCCCCGCAGAGGAGAGTGGTAGTTTGCTGCTCCCTGTGACAGCTGTATACTCAAGTGATAGTTGTCATTATTCCTTGGTGACTGACTTTCTTCTTGCTTAGCGTAGCGTTTCCTTGCGAGGAAGACAAATACACACCACTATCTTGTTCCTTTCTTATGAAGAAATGTTTTCTGTGTTAATTTGTATCAGCTTGTGTGTTTGTGGAACTGAGTCAAATGAGCTTGTCACCCTGAAAAGGATTAGACCAGTTCAGGGAGAATAAGTCCATCAATATCTGTTGAACTTGTTGGTCCAGCCTCATACTTGGCTGTGGAAGTTGCTGAAACTTTAATAAGCAAAGTTTGGGAGGGCAATGCCATGTGCACATATGCTCCATAATCACCCTGGATTTTTGTTCTTGCTTGAAGTGTAGGGTGTTGGCCAGACAGAAGCAGATTATGGGCCTAATTAGCCTCTGGTCTGCTCCAGTATATGGCTCTTTTGTTGTTAAACATCGTTCCTGTTTGGGAGAGGACAGTAAGCTATTGGGAATGGTGGGGTGGAGAAGTATTAGCTAGATGAGTTTTGAAAAGAAGTGGCATCTTTGAAGTTTTCTGATTGCCTCTGTGGCGTGAATTGCTCTCTATTAACACTTGAAGATTTTTCTCCCAACTCAATATCTATATTCTCCATGGAGATGCAGGTCTGCCCTAGGTATCACTGTATGAGATTCAGGACACTGTCACATTACGGAGACCATTAGCTGTATTAGTTTTGCTAAACAGGGATATCTCTCTGAGGATCAAATGTGCTGTCAAGAAGCAGGTGATTTGCCCAACCCTTTATGCCGCATCTGTACCACGGAGCCCTGTTCTCAGTCGGTCCCTTAAGCCCTGTGACAATTAATGGTCTCTAATCCGCTGACTGTTTGAGGAAGGATTATTATATTTGCCACATTCCTTATAATCTTTCTTAAGCATGCTCTAATGGCTGCTTCTGCAGACAGGATATCAGGCTGGAGGAGTTTTTATGCAACATGCTGTCATTTGAGCTCTTCTCACGACTTATTCTCTCAACTTTTATTCTATTTATTCAAATTTTCTTTTGTATCACATTTTCACATTCCTGACAGTTTATGCTTGACACCAAAGAGAGTTAACAATTTATTTCAGAGAACTCAATTACAAGCCTAAATTAAAAGGATGCAAGAAGAGGGCAGATATTCTCTGAAATATCAGAGAACCGGTTAGTTTGAGACATTTCTCCTCTCACTGGCTTCAGCTTCTGCTGCCTGCACCTGGGAGATGTGGCAAAGGAAAAATTTACTGCCATTAGCTGTAAGGACTTGAGGGGGGATACACACTGCTGACAAACTAATTTTGCAAGTTATGGCTTGGGTGAAGTCTCTGACACTGAGTCTTATGTTTTGAAAATTTAATAGAATATCTCGTGGCCTTAGTGTTTGTAGGCTGAGAGAGCAACTGCATGTCAAGAGAAAAGAGGAGGAGTAATAGAATTATCAACTGATGAGAAGTTGCTGTTAATGGAAAGTCATTTACTGCCAATATCCCAGTGCATATCATTTTAGGTATCCAGTAAAAGAAGCCACTAGAAGCAGCTTCTGAAAAAGGCAATCGCTCTAGAAATAATTTTTTGCATAGGAGCAAGTACTTGGTAGATTTTCAGGCAATATTGTCATTTGCTTCTTAAAGCAACAAATTGAATAATGAAAAACGTAGGACAAAAAAAGTAGGAAAGAAAGGAAGAAACCTCAGAAATGATAGCTCCGAGACCTTTGCCATCCAAATGGTAATCTGGACCCCTAAGTGATGTATTTCTTGCTCCCTTGAAATCAAGTGGTGCTATCTGAGCTTAGAAGAGCTGAGAACCTGCCCTTCTCAAAAGCAGGTTTGGCTAAAGGCACAACATTTCCTCCCATTATGTAGGCAGCACTGTCCTTTAGATCAATTCCCAATACAGACCTGAGTTCTTTCATTTCTCATCTGTGTTATGGTGGTGTTAGTAACTGTATTGTGCTTAGCTTTCATGTTCATCACAGAAAACAGAGACACATGGGCACTGGTACTGCTGTACTGTGCTCTCAGATGCCTGTGTAGCAGATACTTTCACCTGAAATACTTCCTGTGCCTCCCTTTGCAGATCTCTGACCTGTTTATGTGTCTAGTTAAGGGTGAGATGAGCCAGACCCCAAGTATGCCTTTTTCTCTTCATTCATTGTAAAGGGAGTCTATACATATACATCCTTACCTCAGAGGGAGGTAGTTTAGTTAATTGACAATTAGTTATGCTTTTTCCCATGTAAAGATTCCTAACATGATTTTTCCATCTTTTGCCATGTGCACTGGGTAATGTGAATAGTGGAACAGCTACTACAGACCTCCCTAAAGAATGTTTTCGTGATAATGTAATTACTATCCTTGTGCTGACGTGTGACTACTTAAGTCAGCACCTATTGTATTAACAAAACATTTTATGCCCTTGTGTTGGGTCGTACTATTAATGCAATTATTTCATCATACTGCAGAAGTGAAACCTATGGCCGTAGACCAGAGCTTAGTTAGCCTGTCAGGACTTAGACAGCCGAGTTACGAAGGGTTTGCAATGGCTGATTTGTGGTAATTGCAAACATGAAGCCCTGCACTTTGGGTTAGCCCTGTGGCTCAGGGCGAAGTAAATCAGTGTGTCTTCCTCTGCGACTGCCTGGCAGCTGAGCTGGTGGATGGCAACTTTAAACCCCACAGTAACACTGAAATCCGTGCAATGGCTCGTGCACGGATCAGAGCTGTGAGATCCATGGATTACCTAATAAACTGATCTTGTTTCTTACCTCCCCTCTAAACACTTTTTTCGTTCTGCTTCTCTCATATATCTGAAGTCACCTATTTCTCCTCCAGCTTTGAAAAAATTGTTGGCTTAGTATTTACAACAAGGATGTTTGAAGGTTTTTTTTGTCTCACTCACTGTCTAGTTTGTCCTCAGCATTGTCATCTATCAGCCTTATGCTTCCTCTGTCGTTGCTGCTGCCTCAAGTACTACTGCTTGTTTAGTTTTAAAGCTGACATTTTATCTGGCATCTCCGGAGGGAAAAAGAGAGACTACGGGCCATGCCTTGTGTCCAACCACTTGACAGCTGTGAAAAAAGACCCACGGCAGTGTATCAAGACAATGTGTCTCATTCACTAGACAAACTTCAGGGTGCGAGACAGAAAGTGATGTTGATGATGCCAAAGTAACTGACTTCTGAAACCATGCAGCACGTTTTTGTGGAAGACAAATACACAGCACTCAGAGGCGTTAAGGTGAATTGCGTGCCTCAAGGCAATAAAACATTTCTGTTATGTTCCAGTGTGATGCTGGTACAAATCGATGTGGGATCGTGTTTAAAACACTGCTGCTGTTCTGTGCTCTATAGTAATTTTTATCTTGTAACAACATCATCCTGCTGTGTAGTTGCATATGATCCTAGAGGTGTTCTCAAGGCCTGGCCACCATTCTGAGCAGCACGGTATTTCTTGTGGAGATGCCATAAAAGCACTTTACTACCACCCATTGATTCAGACACTTCTGTCCTGTAGGTTGCTAAATGTCATGGCAGCAGGAGGTGGTGATGTGTGTGGGAACTCTCCAGCCAGAGCCAGAACAGACAAACTGTGGGGTACCCATCTGCTTCACCTTTGTAAACTCTGGGTCTCATCAGAAAATATGTATCTTTGCTTAGTTCTTCCTGCTAGAGATGAGGATATGCACGGTCACTAGATCATTTAGGTACTGACTATCTTATTTTGAATATGACCTGGTATGATGTGAATTTTTGTCAGATATTGTCATAGTCCTTTTTCTGGAAGGTCCAGATTTGAAGCAGGAAGTTTCAAGGGAAAAAAAAAAATAAAATTCAGTTAAACCCAACAATTTTCCAGAATGTGTGAAATGTGGAAGTGTGTGAAAGCGTGGATCGTGTTTAACTCCCTACAGACTGAAACCTGAGACAGCAAAGAGTGCACACCCCATATTTGTTACTTTTAAACAGACAAAATTTTTAACGCAGTTGTTTGAGATTTTGGAGGCAAGGATTTTTTGCATGTTCACCAGAAAAAAATAAACATACCTTTTAAGTGGCTCTGAAGGAAGAATGATCTAAACTTGCTGGGCTGGGAGGTTTTGTCACATTGTTCAGGAGTATCTACGGGACCTTGTTAAACCCATGCAGCTCCTGGTTTAGAGAAAGCCTGAAGCATCCCAAGGCTTGCTGTGCATTGCTGTGCTTAGCTGGAATTTATCAGCAAGCGTAGGAGCTAGCAAAGAAGCAGTATTTTATTTTCAATAGCCCTGGGAACAGTTTTAGAGATATTGAAGTAGTGGATCATTCAGTCAGTATCTACTATATTCTTAGTAGATTTCGATTCAGACTGGAGGAATGTGTGAAA